ATTTTAAAATGTATTTATGAACTTATATGAATTGCCAAAGTTTGATGAATTTTAAGTAGTTGCTGAACTGAGAACCAGAATTATTATTTTGATTTACACATTCTTATTAATGAAATAAAAAAAATTCACAAGAATTTTAAGGAAGACCACTTCTTCATTCTGCTTCTAATTTTGTGGGTTTTCTCACTATAAATAATTGGAATCATGAGAGGACGAAAGAGAATATAGATATTTCCCAAATAGATATGCACTAGTGGTGAGAGACGCTTTCCAAAGTGATGGACTATGATGAGACCAATGATGGGAATATAAAAAACTAGTACAACACAGAGATGGGAAACACAGGTCTGCAAAGACTTGAGTCTCTCTTCTGGAGAAGCAATTGCTAAAACTCTAAGCAGGATGAAAATGTAAGAGACGAGATTGAGGATAGCATCCAATTACAAGGTACAGATGACCAGAGCCAGGGCATAGAAGCTATTGAAGCAGATGTCAGGCAGGCCAACCTCAGCAGCTCCTGGTACAGGCAGAAAAAGTGAGAAAAGATGTGTAGACTCCAGTAAATGAAAAATTTTAGTGAGATGATGCCAGGAAGAATAGACAAAGCACTTCTCATCAAAATGGTCACCATGAGCTGAATGACTCTCCTATTAGTTATGATGGAGCTATATCTCAGAGATTAGCAGATTGCGGTAAAGTGATCAAAGGTCATAACAGGGAGAACTCCAGACTCGATGCAGGAAAGTCCTCGGACAAAATAAGTCTGGGAGATACAGGCACCCAGACCTGTCTCCTGGTTAAGTACACACAGAATCCCCAGCAATGTGTGTATACAGTGGATAGCCCAAAACGCAGGTCAGTGAGGGCCAGTAAGCTCAGAAAATAGAACATGGGTTGGTGCAGTGTTGGCTCAGTCTGGGTCACATGGATTACCATGCAGTTTCCCAGGAAAACCAGAGAATAGATGAAAGAGAATAGAACTGAAATCCAGGGGTACTACTTCTTCAGACTAGGACATCCTGTAAAATGGAACACAGAGGGATTGATCATGGCAGTTAAAAAAGTAGACATGACTATTGGGAGGTAATGTTCAAGATTTAGTAACTTTTTATTCACAAACTTGATAAAATTTTTCTCTACATTTGAGAACAGGCATATAAATATAACACAAGTAAAACTAGTTGTTGCATTCTGAAAAAGTTCAGTTTTGTGATAGAATTCAAAGCACCAAATTATTATGTAAGATGCCTTCTTGGTATTTAGTTTCATGGGTTATGAAAATAATCATAGTCCTTACCATATTAAGAAAATTAGATCATGAATTTCTTTTACTGGTGTCCTCTGAGCCACATGCAACACATACTAGGTGAGAGTAACTGAAGTGTCAAAAGCATAAAGATTCTCTTGCTATATTAGCACCAAAAAGTCTCTAATACTCCTTTTATTTACCATATTTTACCACATTGGAATTCAGAGTGCTCCGGTTTATGAGGAGTAGTTCAAAGGATTGTGTCAATGCAGGGCATACAGGCTGCTGGGAAAGTAATATTCCCTCTTGATCTATTCCAGGCTAGTAATTCTCTGGGATGGTGTAAAATTAATTAAAAATATTATTCCTTCCAGGTTTACCAACAGTATTAATACAAGAGGGAGACCTCTTACTACATTGATTAAATATGAATATGTATGTCAAAGAATGCAAGAAATAAATACAAAAGTGGAAACACAATTTCAGAATAATGATAAACTATTTCCATTTCAGTCTCTGTTTTAAACATTTATTTCTAATTTCCATCCATTTAGTTTGAAAATATCACTGCTTTATTTAACTATTTTCTCAGCAGGTATGGGGTTGCCTTGCACATGGCCAACCCAGGTTTAATTCTTCTGCCTCTCTCGGCGAGCCCAGCAAGCTACCAAGAGTATCACACCCTCATGGCACTGCTTGGCAAGCTCCCCGTGGTGTATTCAATATGCCAGAAACAGTAACGACAAGTATCACAATTTGTTGGGAGACATAACTGATGCCTGATCGAGCAAATTGATGAACAACAGGAGGAGAGTGCTACAGCGCTACAGTGCTCTTTCTAAATTAGTGATATCAATATTTCTGTAACCTATCTATATCATTAAAGAAAAATATTATATAGCTGTTATAGATAATAGGTATCTACTAATTCCTGATACATTGTTTATATTTGGTAAATTATATATTTATTTTTTGCAGCACCCAGTAGTGCTCAAGGCTTAGTCCTGACTCTGCACTCAAGGAGCATTTATGGTTGGGTAGGATATCATATGTGTATGGGGCGTTGAACGCACACCAGCTGTGTGATAGGCAAGTGTCCTACCTGTTTTACTATCTCCTTGGTAAATATTTTTTTTCTGAGAGGTTTTTGCTTTAAAAACACTGTGTGTGTGTCTTTTCTACACTTTTTTTTTTTTATAAATAAGCTCTTACAAGAGCGCACTACCAATATAAAAAGAACCAAAGAGGTAGTGTATCCTACTCCCTGTGTACCACTTACTAGCAGGCATGAAAGGGGTCAGTCTTTGGTTTTGATTCTGGTCCAATCAGTTTCTTCTGGCCTGGATGTGCATGCATCTGTTTGGGTGACTCACCAATGTTAACACTTCTTGTTTATGTCCTTTATAGTATCTTCCAGAAGTTTCTGCAGTTCTTGTTAGCAAAGGGAACAGGTACAGATTGGAGAGGTAGCTCGACTCCTGGTCATCAGTTACTATGCATCTAATTCTTGCTTTCATTCTGCCCACACCATAATTTCTAAAAACCTGATGATATCACCTGCCACAGTAGCAGTAGGAAGGATGGCAGAAGGGAACATGTATGCCCAAACAGCTCTCCTTCTTGATATTGTAGATTCTGTGTGACAACTTTTTATTAGAGATTGACCTGATTTAAGGGTCCCAAAAATCTTCCTGGGCTTTTAAGACTAAATGTAAAGAAACACATTTTTCAATCTTAAGGTGAAAGCAAGTTTCTCATTGTCCAGCAATTAATCAATATAGAGCCCTATGATTTTTTTAAAAAAATTTTATTCATGAAACACCATGAGTCTACAGTTGTAGACTTACAAATTTTTGAAAGCAGAACCTCAGTTACTAAAGGAAATTACTTTGTTTTTATTTAGATGAAACTAAAATGATTTTCACTTTTTAAAATATATTACAAAAAAGTATAAAATTGGTGTTCATTTACTTAAAAAACGATTCTATGACTTCATTATCTCCATATATAACTATGAGACCCCTGTCGTTCCTTATCCTAAGTATGTAGACATTGTTGGAATTTACTGGTCTTTAATCACTTATAGCCAATTACCTAATGTTTTAATACTACCTAGAAAATATATCTTATGCATATTCTTACAAATTCCTAACTGACTTTTAGTTGATAAAACACTGCTAAATCTTCTTAGCAGACTTTTTAAAGACTATTTTTTAAAGGCTATTTAATTTTCTCAGCTCTTTTCCTTTTCTTGGTGAAACTTTCAATATTTCAGAATTTTTGGTTCTATTCAGTAGTAGATTCACATAACTCTAAGAATTAAACTGAAATGAAAACCTCATTTATGTGCAGATTTATACTAAATATATTTGCCTTTATGACTGATATTTAGTAGGTGAATAATCAAATATACTATTTTATTCTTTATGCTGGGCTGGAGCATAGCACAGGGGATAGGGCATTTGCTTTGCATGCTGCTGACCTGGTCACCCAGGTTCAATTCCTACGCCCCTCTCGGAGAGACCGGCAAGCTACCAATAGTATTTCTTCCACATGGCAAAGCCTGCTAAGCTACCCGTGATGTATTTCATCTGCCAAACACAATAACAAGTCTCACAATGGAGGTGTTACTGGACCTGCTTGAGAAAATTGATGAAATGGAGGACAGTGAGAGTTACAGTGATTGGTTCTGCTTGGGTGATGTACAGCAATGGCAATAAAGGAATATTTGATATGTTTAAGTTTTATAATAAATATGCCACAGAAACCAACTGTATGATCTTTTTGATGTTTCATAATATCTGTGTGAATAATACTTATAATTTTATTAACTTATTGAGAAAAAAGAATGCATTGACATCACACCTCAGAAATTTTGAGCCTAATTACTTTTCATTCAATCAAAATAATTTATTAGTTGTTTCTATAGGTCATATAGAATATTGGTATATAAACAAAGCCATAAAATCATGTTCTAGTATAAAACATAACTAATTCATTAATAAAACAGAATAAATATAGCTCTACAGAGAGAAGTCCTGAGTGATTTTGAAAAATTATCTAAAATAATTATATTGCTATTAAGTTTTTTTTAAAAATCCTAATAATACTTATATAAATTTTGGAGAGAAAAGTTCATCTTGAATGATTTCACATTTTAATAGTATAAAGTAATTCAGAAGATTATTGATATAGAAGGGATATAAATCTTTTAATAGTAAATCCTTTTGGGAATTTGCATTCTTTCAGATAAAGAAAAACAAATGGTTTAAAGGGAAATTCTAGCATCACTATTACAGAAGTTACTCATTTTACCACTAAGAAAGGGTAACGTCCTATTTCGCCTATCAGATTATTTAATATAAAGATGGTGCTTAACAAATATATGTAGTAAACATGTTTCCAAATACTTAACTGAAATTAACTCAAAATGGAAAGCTTACAATAAAGAACCTAAAATAAATTTTGATATATCATATTACAACAATATGTTAATATAATATAAGCAATAATTGCTATACCCACACTAGCCAGGATATTACTACAACATATAGAAGATAATGGTAAATATTAAAAATTTTTGGTCTCCTGTTTCAGTAAATATCACTTAACTTTTAACATTTCAACAGATGTAAAACAACCAAGATTAATTGCAAAAATTTGATGAATTTTAAGTTGTTGCACAAACAACTTAATGAGACTCAGCATTTTTATTTTGACTTACGCATTCTTACTGATGAAACAAAAAAGTTCATAAGAATTTTAAGGAAAACCACTTCTTCATTCTGCTCCTTATCTGCTGGGTCTTCACACTGTAGATGATTGGATTCATGAGAGGAGGAAAGAGAATATAGATGTTGCCCATAAGAACATGCACCAGTGGTGAGAGATGCTTTCCAAAGCGATGGACCATGGTGAGACCAATGATGGGAATATAAAAGACTAGTACAGCACAGAGGTGGGAAACACAGGTCTGCAAAGACTTGAGTCTCTCTTCTGGAGATGCAATTGCCAGTACAGTATGCAAGATAAAAATATAGGAGATGAGAATAAGGACAGAATCCAGCAACAAAGTATAAATGACTAGAGCCAGGGCATAGTAACTATTGAAGCGGATGTCAGAGCAGGCCAACCTCAGCAGGTCCTGATGCAGGCAGAAAGAGTGAGAAAGGATGTGTGGACGGCAGTAAATGAACAACTTCAGTCGTATGATAGGAGGAAGAGCCAAAGTGCTTCTCATCACAATGGTCATCATAAGCTGAATAACTCTTCTGTTAGTCAATATGGTGTTATATCTCAAAGGATTGCAGATTGCAGTAAAGCGATCAAAAGCCATGGCCAGAAGGATTCCAGATTCTGTAAATGAGAGCCAATGGATAAAATAACTCTGGGATATGCAGGCTTTCAGATGAATCTCTTGGTTAATCCCCCATAGGGTTCCCAGCACTGTGTGTACAGTGGATAGTCCAATGCATAGATCAGTAAAGGACAAAAAGGACAGAAAATAGAACATGGGCTGGTGCAATGATGGCTCAGTCCGGATCACATGGAGCACCATGCAATTTCCTAGGAAAACCAGAGCATAGACGAATGAGAAAGGCACTGAAATACAGGGGTAGTACTGCTCCAGACCAGGAAACCCCATGAGAAGGAATGTGGAGGAATTGATCATGGAGGCAGAAATAGTAGACATGACTGTTTGGATGTAGTTTTCAAGTTCAGGTAAATATTTATTCGGAGTTTTGTTTGAGCTATAAGCCTGAATTGACAATAGTCACCTGCAACATAATTTTACAGACTATGGTACACATAAAGTTGATTGAGGAGCTCCAAGGAATACTAGCTTTGCAGGAGAGTCACAGCATAAGCTGATTTCAGAATAGACTTCCTTGGCATTAAATCTCAGAGGTTATTATAACCATGTCCTGATCCTTTTAGACACATTAGAACATGATCTTCACCATAGTCTCTTTGAGCTACAAACAGCACACAATTCAGGTGACAATGACTGAAGTTTCTGAGAGCATAAGTTCTCTTGTCTGACTGCTACCTCTCAGTAAGCCTCTGACAGTCTTCTCACTTACCAGTGCTTACCATGGGGAATCAACAACACAGGTTTATGAGTAAGAAATTGAGAAGATTGCATCAGCCCAGTAAATTCCATGCTCCTGGGATTGCACTATTCCCTCTTGGTGTGAGCAAGTGATTTACCTGCTCATTCCTTTCTCAAAGTTCCCAGCTATAGTATGGCTGGATTAATGAAAATGTTTATGGCAAAGTTCACTAATATTTCTAATATTGAAAGGAGCAAGTCCCACTGCTTTTAGCAGAGATCAGTACATACTCAAATGGAGAAATCACTGAATGGGAAAAGTCATTGTCACAATAATAATAAACTTTAAAATCTCTATTTCAATCAAAAACTGAAAAAAATGAGTTGTTTATTTGCTTTTAATCACTTAAGTCTTGCAATCCACTCATATATTCAACATTTCTCTTCCTTTAGTGTCACAGATAACAATATCTGTTTTCTTAATGACATAGGGCTGGAGCCATAGTACAGCGGATCAGTGCTTGCCTTGCAAGCAGTCAACCCCGGCCGACTCCGGTTCCATTCCTTCGCCCCTCTCAGAGAGCCCAGCAAGCTACCGAGGGTGTCTCGCCCAATTGGCAAAGCCTGGCAAGCTAACTCTGACGTATTTGATATGCCAAAAACAGTAACAAGTATCACAAAGGAGATGCTATTGGTGCCTGCTCATGAAAATCGATGAACAATGGAGGACAGTGCTATACAGTGCTTAATGGCATAATACAAGTGAAATACTTACATAAAGTTTATATAAGTGATATATATATATATATATATATATATATATATATATATGAAGCTTGGTGATAATAAAGAGGTTAGGTGCTCACTTTGCATTCAAATAAACTACATTCAATAGCTGTTATAATTTTCTCTTATAATTTTTTTTTTAGATCACCATGATACACAGCTTTCATGTTTGAGTTTTTTTCGTACACTGATCAAACACCGATTCCTCCACCAGTGCACATTCTCCAGCATCAACATCCTCAGTATACTCCCCCCTTTTTAACCCTCCCCCTGTCTCTAGGGCGGACAATTCCCCCATTCTCTCTCTACTTTTGTGCACTATGGTTTGCAATACAGATACTCAGATGATAACACGTTTCCTTCTCTATCCCAGCTGCCTTATCTCCCAGGTCATAAGAAAGGCTTCCAACTATGGGGCAATCTTCCTGACACTTATGTTCACTATCCTCGGGTGTCAGTCTCATATTGTGTTATTTTATATTTCACAAATGAGTGCAGTCCTTCTATATCTTTCCCTCTCTTTCTGATTCATTTCACTTAGCATGATACGCTCCATGTCCATCCACTTATAAGAAAATTTCATGGTGGGACGGGCACAGAGGCCCAGCTCTGGGCAACAAAGCTGAACGGCTCCAATTCCAACAGGTACAGCCCGCCCCCAAGGGCCTGGGTTCCTCTCTGGGCACGCGCAGCTAGAAACAGCCCCGAGACAGCCGGTTTTCAACCCCTGAGCCGCGTGGGACGGGCACAGAGGCCCAGCTCTGGGCAACAAAGCTGAACGGCTCCAATTCCAACAGGTACAGCCCGCCCCCAAGGGCCTGGGTTCCTCTCTGGGCACGCGCAGCTAGAAACAGCCCCGAGACAGCCGGTTTTCAACCCCTGATCCGCGTGGGACGGGCACAGAGGCCCAGCTCTGGGCAACAAAGCTGAACGGCTCCAATTCCAACAGGTACAGCCCGCCCCCAAGGGCCTGGGTTCCTCTCTGGGCACGCGCAGCTAGAAACAGCCCCGAGACAGCCGGTTTTCAACCCCTGAGACGCGTGGGACGGGCACAGAGGCCCAGCTCTGGGCAACAAAGCTGAATGGCTCCAATTCCAAACAGGAGACATTCCCAACTCCTCGCCCAGTGCCAGGGACTCTTTCCGGAGCCGCGGCCGCTAACGCGGCCGCGAAATATTTTCCCACTACATATGCCATAGGAACCATAAGCTAACTTCTTAGATGGAAACTTCTCTATTTTAGCTCAGCCACTAGAAATACAGTTGCCAATAACTCATAAGCCTATCTTAACTCACACTGGATATCAAGCAGAATAGTAACACTGAACGTGAAGGACTAAACCACACCTCTCACAATGGTAAAGCAACGCAAAAGCCCACCAAACATTCATATTGAAGAGTCTAGCCCAGATGACACCAACAGTACTGTAGTGTTAGACAACCTCTCTGACAAGGAATTCAGAAGGGAGCTACTTAGGATGCTTAGGGAATTAAAAGAAACAATGGAAAGCAATGCCAATAGAAGACAAGAGGATCTGAAGGCAGAAATGAGGAAAATGCAATCAGAAATGTCAGACCTGAAAAATCTCGTAGGCGAATTGAAAAGCTCAGTGGAAGGCCTCAGCAGCAGAGTAACAGCGGCTGAGAACAGAATCAGTGAGCTCGAGGATGAAGTTCAGAGACTCTCCCGAAAAGAGCAGAAAATGGAAAAGAGACTCACAATTCGGGAACAGATGGCAAGAGAAGATCGTGATGAAGCCAAGAGGGGTAACATAAGAATTATTGGACTCCCAGAGGGACAGGAAGAAAACCTCGATGAAGAAGAAACTGTCAAAGACATCATTGCTACAACATTTCCAGAGCTGAAGAAAACTTGTGACCACATTCAGGAGGCCCGAAGGGTACCAGCTAGAAGAAATCCGAATAAAAATACCCCAAGACACATTCTGATCAAAATGACCAAAACCTTAGACAGAGACAAAATTCTGAAAGCAGCAAGATCGAAGAAAGAAATCTCTTACAAAGGAGCATCCTTAAACTTCACAGCTGATTTTTCTGATGAAACCCTCATGGCCCGAAAACAGTGGTGGGACATAGTAAAAAAACTCAATGAAATAAATGCCTCCCCCAAAATACTTTTCCCAGCAAGACTCTCATTCATAATAGAAGGAACAACACACAGTTTCACAGACAAACAACAGCTCAGGAACTTCATAGACTCAAAACCATGGTTACAAGAACAACTAAATGGGCTACTTTAAGGCAAGAAAGGCCCCTCAAATACACCCAATTTTAACAGAACAATGGGACAAAATCCCATAACAATAATCTCTCTCAATGTCAATGGGCTAAACGCACCAATTAAAAGACATAGAGTGGCAGGATGGATTAGAAAATTGAACCCAACATTCTGCTGCCTGCAAGAAACGCATCTCAATAGTCAAAGCAAACACAGACTCAGAGTCAAAGGCTGGAAAACAATCCTACAGGCAAACAGCTCCCATAAAAAAGCTGGGGTAGCCATCCTTATATCAGACCACATTGATTTCAGAGTGAGGAAGGTCATAAGAGACAGTGAAGGCCATTACTTATTGATCAGAGGATCTGTACAACAGGAAGAACTTACAATAATAAATGTATATGCACCTAATGAGAGACCAGCAAAGTACTTAAAACAACTACTCATAGATTTGGAAAAAGACATCAATAGCAACACAATACTAGTGGGAGACTTCAACACTGCTTTGTCACCTCTTGATAGATCAACCAGACTCAAGCTTAGCAAGGACATACTTCATTTGAGGGAAACAATGGAAGAAAGGGACTTAGTAGATATATACAGGACACTTCATCCACAAAAAGCTGAATACACATTCTTCTCAAGCGTACATGGAACATTCTCCAAGATAGACCACATGCTGAGCCAGAAAACATGCCTCCATAAAATTAAGAAGGTAGAGATTGTATCAACAATCTTCTCAGACCATAATGCGCTGAAATTAGAAGTAAATCACACACAAAAACAGAAAACTAAATCAAACACCTGGAAATTAAACAGTGCACTATTGGACAATGAGTGGATTAGACAGGAAATCAAAGAGGAAATCAAAAGATTCCTAGAAACGAATGAAAATGAGAACACGAGTTACCAAAACTTATGGGACACAGCAAAGGCTGTGTTAAGAGGAAAGTTTATAGCTCTACAAGCATTCCTCAGGAAGGAGGAGCGAGCACACATAAGTAACCTAACCTCACAGCTTAAGAGCTTGGAGAAGGACCAAAAAAAGGAGCACAACCCGAACAGGAGAAAGGAAATAATAAAACTCAGAGCAGAGATTAACGAGATGGAAACCCAAAAAACAATCCGAAAGATCAATGAAACCAAGAGCTGGTTCTTTGAGAAAATTAACAAGATCGATAAGCCTCTAGCAAAACTCACAAAGAAAGGGAGAGAGAAAACCCTAATAAACCGAATCAGAAATGAAAAGGGGGTCATTACAACAGAAACCACAGAAATTCAGAGGATCCTCAGGGAGTACTTTGAGAAGCTTTATGCCACGGAACATCAAAACCTCGAGGAAATGGATAAATTCCTAGACTCCTACAGACTCCCAAGGCTGAACCAAGAAGACCTGGAATACCTGAACAGACCTATCACCATCAAGGAAATTGAAATGGTAATAAAAAGTCTCCCCAAGCACAAAAGTACTGGCCCGGATGGATTCACTAGTGAATTCTTCCAAATCTTTAAAGAGGACTTACTCCCTATGCTCTTTAAGCTTTTCCACGAAATTGAAATATCAAAAACACTTCCAAACAGTTTTTACGAAGCAAATATCACACTGATACCAAAAG